AAGAGCTAGAGATAGATAGACATTTGAGGAGCATCGGTGTAGACTGTATTTGAAACCAAGAGAAGCACTGAGATTTCCTAGAAAGTGAGTGCTAGAGAAGTGTTCTGAGTACTGAGACCTAGGGTACTCCAACAGTGAGAAGGCCAAAAAAGCAAGAAGTTCCAGCAGAGGAAAAGGAGAAGTCATTGAGCTAAGAGGGAGATGGAGAAGTAGGATGTACTAACTCATTCGCAAGCCTCTGTGGTTAGCTTATCTGTGTTCTTAGAAGCAAAGTGTTTACTTCATTTTTACTAAATCATATCATTAGTGTATTAGTATATTCTATTTGGTAATAGGTATCATTAGTATATGGCTGCATTGTCACAGGAATGTCTAGAGAGAGATCATTTCATTTCTTATCTCCTACCTACTGCCATCAAGTCAATTCTGACTCATAGCAACCCCCAATGGGTTTCCAAGGCTGTAAATCTTCACGGAAGTAGATTGCCTCATCTTTCTTCCATTAGAGCAGCTGGCGAGTTTGAACCACTGGCCTTCTGGTTAGCAGCCAAATGTCTTACCCACTACACCACCAGAGCGCCTTATTTCTTTTCTCGGGAAGTAAAATTGAAAAAGGGGAAAAAGCAAAAAGCTTTTAATAGATATACTCTTTAGTTATGTCTATAACTCTTCCATTGCTTTATCTCATAATAGATTCTTTTTGGTATTTTAAACAGAAAATAAGATTTTGAAATGATAAAACTAGATATTATAAACACACTGCAGTTTTACAGCTACGAAGTAGAAGTCAAGGAAAGGACAGTCCTGTAGGTTAGTTTGTGTTACATTGCCTGTTTAATACTGCATAAACTGGGTGATGTTTCAGTCGAAGCTGACGTTGGGAAGTTAAATTTAATGAGTATGTACTTGAACCTTCTGTTCCATGCAGATGAGCTTAGTTGTCAAGGACAGGAAAACAGCAGCTGCTCACAGAGCACCTGTGGGTGATGAGAGGTAAATCAGACCCCACCACGACCAAGAATAAGCATTGTCTTTAAAACACTCAATTTATTACAGAAGCTATTTAGTTTACTGCAGTTTAATTATTGTTTTGTTTTAAATTTTGTAAAATTTAGTCTTTTTGTGTTCTATTATATTGACAACGCTATTTCAATCTCAAGATTAGGTCTACTTTTTATTGTGTTTTCTTTCTGCTACTCCCTGGTGATAATAACTACATTTACCGAATATTTATTTCAGGGTGTCACCATGCTTAGACCTTACATGCATTTTAGCTCCACAGCAGCTCTGTGAAAAACTGTTCATCTCCACATTACAAAATTGAGGCTCAGAGAGGTTCAGTAACATGCCAAGGCAATAAAGCCAGTTAGTAATAGAACAAATATATTAACTATCCCTATTTTCTTAATATAGAGCTCTAAATTATTTTTGTGCATCATGGTGTAATTTCATATAATAATTTATCTTCTTCCTTTAACTTTTTGACTTTTGCTGTATATATTTATGATAGGTTTGCTGATAAGATTTTTTTTTTTGGCATTCTAGGTGTATGCCCTTTATATGTTTAAATAGAGTCATCATTTTAGGGTGGAAATTACCCTTGAAGTACAAAAACCATGCAGAAATTTTGGGAAACTTTTAGTTTATTTACTTGTAGTTTAAACATGCACTGTTTTTTTCACACTTTCTGAAGTTTCTTGAAGTGAGACATTACTAAACCTTGAAATGAGTTGCTGTGGTGCTGTTAAAATTCTTGGTTAAGATATTTACCTAATTTATTTTTATACCCTGAAACCACAACATCAGAACCTGGTTAGTGCTTCTCTTTCCCAGGTAGTCATGCTTCAGATTTCCAGGTAATGAAAGTTTCCCTTGATACTTCATGGTATGTATACAAAAGGTTAGAGGACATTTTTGGATCACAGAGATGAGGAGAAATCTGGTTGATGTCTTTCAGAAGTCACATTTATATTGCTATGAATTTCCTATGGTGTTAATTTTCAAGAGCTTAGTAGTGTGTTGCAATCCAAGGAGTACACACGATATGGCAGACATTGTAGTGTATATGCTTTATAAATATAAATCATTCAAGTACCTGTCCCAGATTATAACTAGACAGACACAGAGCTGGCGTTTGACCCCAGTCAAGCTGGCTGTAGAATTCCCTGAGCTTTCCCTTTCTACGTAGTAGGTAAGATAAGGAACACTCAAAAGAAAACTAAGCATAGCGAAGTGTTATTTACATCTGGAAATGTTGGGCAATCTACTTCTGTAGAGATACCACCTTGAAAACCCAAGGAGGGGTCGCTATGAGTCAGATCTGACTGGATGGCAGTGAGTTTGGTTTTTTTGGTTTAGTATATACTAATTATAATTTTTTTAATAATTTTTATAAAATTATATTTTTTTTCCCGTGGCCCATGATGACTTAAAATTTGGGTAGGAATTTAAAAGAATATATTTAAAAAATTGTTTTAAAGGATGCCTGACATTTAGTAGAATCCCTATTTTATTGTTCTGATAAAAAACAAAATCTAAATAGTTAACATTAAGAACAGAGCATAATTCCTGAACATCATAACTCCTTAGATGAAATTTTTTAGTGTTTGTAAGGATGTGTAGCTAGGAAGGAGGTGAAATATGAAAATGTTTCTATTAATTATTTATAAACCAAAGCATGCGATCATTTTTACATAGTTACTCACTGCCGTCGAGTCGAACTTGACTCATAGTGACACCTCCTTGGGTTTCCCAGGCTATATCACTACAGAAGTAGATTGCCCAGCCTTCCTTCTGAGGAGTAGCTGGTGAGTTTGAACCACCAGGCTTCTGGTTAGCAGTCATATGCCTTAGGCACTGTGCTACTAGAGCTGCTTTTACATAGTTAGGAATACTAATACTTCTTTCCCGTGAAAATTTAGAGTTAAAAGTTCCACTTGTTCCCTGCTAGGGTGGAATTGCAAGCATTGTTAAAGGTGAAAATGCCCTGTGGACAGAGATGCTTGTTGTTACATTCCTCAGCTGACTTCTCAGGTCCCTTGTGTTTTTGTATTGCCGATGATGCAACTTCTATTTTTTAATGTACAGTGATAAATGTATATAGAAAATATTTCTTTTTGTGACATTGCTTTTTTACCTTCAGAGTACTCTGTTTCCTTTAAATGTCATAGGGATGTTTTAGAGTCCTCTTGGTCTAATGAAAGGAGCCCTGGTGGTGCAGAGGTTAAGTACTCAGCTGCCAACTGAAGGTTGACAGTTGGAACCTACCAGCTTCTCCATAGGAAAAAGATGTAGCTTTCTGCTTCTGTAAAGATTTTAGCCTTGGAAATTCTATGGGGTGCTGGAAACTCTTGGAGGTTCTTGGAAACTCTTCCGTATAGGGCCACTGTGAGTTGGAATCGACTTGATGACAGAGGGTTTGGTTTTTTGGTTATGGTCTGATTTAGGAGTCTCTGGGTGACACAATCAGTTAAGCGCTCGACTACTAACTGAAGGTTGGAAATTTGGACCCGCAGAAGAAAGGTGTGACCATCTGCTTCTGAAGGTCACAGCCTAGAAAACCCTGTGGAGTGCTGTTCTGCAGTTCCGCTCTCCCCAGAGGGGGTCGTCATGAGTTAGAATTGACTCAACAACAACTATTATTATTATTATTATTATTATTATGTTTGGTTTACTAGGAGGAAAAATAAAGGATCCTTTGTTGGGAATACTCATCAATTAGTATATTACTATATTCCGTATGGATTTAATTTATAATTTATAAATGGGGGAAAAGCAAATTGCCCATACTGTTAAAACTAAAACTTCAGATTTCAAATTGATGACTAGAAAGATGTAAAGTTTGAATGACTTGATTTAAATGGAGAATGTTTGCTTCTGTCCAGATTGTACTTGGGTAAAAAAGACAGAAGTGATGAGAAGTTTGAAAATGATGTCATTTTTCTGTGCTGGGATAGCCCAGAGAAGCCTCCTCCCCTGTAATCAGGAGAGTCCTTTAGCTTTCCTCTTCTATCAGAACCAGGCTTACTCACTCCTGGTGCCCAATATTATTTATTTGTAAAGATTCATCTGTAAACATCTCATTCAGGTTTTTGTTCATACTCTTTCTTAAAATCTCTCTCAAGTTTTAGTCATGATTGTGATTATTTGATTAATTTATTTTTCTCTGGTACTATAAGCTCTACGGGAGAACAAAAACTATACATGTTCTTGTTCATTTGTGTGTCTTGACTGTGTGTCATAGTCCGTGGAACAAAAAAGATGTTTAGTAAATATTTACTGAGTGACTTAAGCGTTCTAATGTGTTTCCAGTATAGTACTTAACATGTAGTGAGTGTTCAGTAAAGGTTTTGCTAAGACAAATTGAGAAAGTATGTTTAATGTACATTCTCTTTACAGCACTTGGAAATTAAAAATGTGTAAAGAAAAAGTGATCTTGTTAAGTATTTCATACTGTTCATTCTTTTTAAACTTATAACTGATATCATACTTAATACCTACAATCTGTTGAGTCCTTTATGTGGTACCACACACTGTGCTAAGCACTTTACACACTTGACCTAATCTAACCTCAGAACAATCCTAAGAGTGGGCTTCAAATCCCCGTTTTTTCAGTTGAGCTAGCTGAAGCTCAGAGTGCCTCAATAATTTATTTAAAGTCACAGAGCTATTAAATGGAGAAGTTAGAATTTATCCCATGTTATATGATTCAAAACACATCCTCTCAACCACCACACAATCCCAAATGAGTTCAAGCCAGAAAAACTTCAGGGTAACACATTGAAGAGAGAAGCAAATTGCATGTCAGTGACTGAAAAATGTTAGGTAAATGGAAATGATTAAAAATAAAATTTAAGTCAAAAAATAAATACTAAATGTGACTCATATGTTGCAATGATTTAGATTATATGATTATGAAAGCAAACTGAAGACTGCTTAAGTTAGTGCTTGGCTTACATTGAGTTTGACTTTTAACTATTTCTTGTTTATGCTTCTTGTAGGTCTGAGTGGCCGCTTCTTTGTCACTACACTTCCAGCATTTTTTCAGTAAGTTTAAATAATATTCTGGTCTTACAGAGATTAGAAAATAACTGATGTGTGCCAGGGATTTTGTTGTTTTCCATTACCACCATTCATCAGTGTAACACTTGATAGCAGAAAGACTGATCTGCACAGAATAATAACTATCAGAAGAGAGGTATGCCTGCAGTGATGCAGAGAAAGAGAATCTAATTTCAAGCAAGGATGAGATGGGGAGGAAGAGTCAGAGAAGATTTTCTGATGATATAAATGAGGGAATGATTTTTAAAAGGTAGGTAGGGATTAGTTAAGCAGAGAAGGTTTCAGAAAAGGCCTTTCCAGATAGAAGACACACCATGTAAACACCCAGGAGAAAATGCAGTAGCTTCTGAGATCTGTAACTAGTTCTATATGGTTGATCCATAGGGTACAGTTGGGTCATACTAGGTGATGAGGCTAGAGAGGCTCAGAGTAATGGCAGTGTAAAGAGAAGGAAAGAGATTCCAGAAATACTTAGAAGGTAGGATTAGTTGATGACCAATTAACCATAGAGAAAGAAGAGTCTATGAGTTAGGCCATGTATAACCAATGAAAGCTATTGCCACATTTCAAAATAAGGAACCATTAGAGTAAGATGAGGTTGGGAGATAACATCCAGAATGGAAAAGATACTAATTTCCAAGTGGAGAAATTCAAGTGACTTTTTTTTGTCAGAATCTAGAGCTCAGAAGAAAGATCTATGGTGGAAATACATATTGGGAATTCATCGGCATTGAGGTAGATAACGGTTTAAATATATCTAGAAAGAACAGATCTAATGGGAAGAGGAGCAGGTCAAAAACTGAACCTGGGATTGACCAACATTAGCTTATCTGCAGAGGAAGACAAACTGAGAAGGGATGATTAGAATACTAGAGAGAAGTCCAGATAGTGATGTCAAGCCACTAGAAAGGAGGAAGGAAGTGGCGTTGGTGTGCTACAGTAGACAGTGCCAAAGACAAGTGAAATAAAATTGGCAGAAAAGTATTTCATGGATTTGGTACTTAAGAGCTGTGAGGACCCCCAATATGAGCAGTTTCAATGAAGTCATGAAAGCAGAGCTGACATTCGTACCAAGTATCAAAGAGGAGAAAATAACAAATGTAGACTTCTGTAGGAAGCTTAACTGTGGCAAGAAGATAAGAGGGAGGGAAGCCAGGAGGGAGATGTGAGAGTAAGAGGTGTTTTGTTGATTCTGAGGGGAGGAATTGAGTAACATAATTTTGGGAATGTGGAAACAGTATTTTTGACTTGATAACATTGCTATTTTGCTATTGTAAGAGAAAAGTTAAAATAACTAGTAGCAAAAGTAATAAAAAGTAATTTAGCAAATTAAATCTTATCAAGAACTTTGCTTATAGATACAAATTATATAGTGATAAAAGAATATTTAATGTTTTCAGCTTTGGAATTTCTCATTTCTATAGATTAAAATTTATGCATTCTCTCTAATTTATGTCTGACTATAATTTTTTTTCTTTATGTTAGCCAATGAAAATTCAGAATGGAGTTCATTTTTTAAAACTAATCATCAGTTTGGTTTTTATTATCTGTAGCACCTGCTATTTTAATGGATTTTTTTTCTATTTGTTTTATAATTTATAGTGCAAAGGATGGGATTTTCCGCCGTTACCGGGGCCCAGGAATCTTTGAAGACCTGCAGAATTATATTGTAGAGAAGAAATGGCAATCAGTTGAGCCTCTGACTGGCTGGAAATCTCCGGCTTCTCTAACGTAACTTGTTACTTTTTCAATGACAAGATATCATTAATAAAACAAGAGGTATCAAGTAAACAACCCTGGGGCCTTGAAAGCCTGCATTTTCCTGCATAGTTCCTTCCAGTGCCTCAGACCACACATGACCATACTTGCATCACATGGTATTTTAGTTTTATGACCCATATATGTTTGAGTTAATTCTTAGTGTACTGGAAATTAAGCAGATTTGGATGAGTTATAGAAAGCTTCTCCTTGAGCTTTTGCATAAGCCATGCCGATTGTTTCCTCTTGAAAAAAACTTAGTATTGAGTACCATTTACTATTCTTTCTTCCTTTTAAATTACTGATAAGATAGAGGAGTAACTTCTTTAATTATAGTTCATAAAGAAATTGCTCTTATATCTTATTTGGGAAATTAAATGTATGGTGTCATAGTTTGGCTTCCTAACAGAATACTTCTAAGAATAACTTTTGGCCATGATGACAAGGTAGATAGAAGATGTGAGTCAGTTAGGATAGGATAGGATATAGTATATTCATAGGTTCCAATTTAGAAAAAAGCTTGGTGTATTTGAGGAGCAGAAAGGTACTAGCAATAGCTGAATAAGAGAGATAGGCCAAAGCTGGGCCACTCATGCCCTTGTGTCCATGGTGAATAACTTGAATTTTATCAATACATGCAATGAGAAACTGACTCTTAAGAGATTTGAGGGAACAAGTATGGATGAGGTGAGACCAGTTAGAAAGTTGTCTTAGTAGTTCAGCCTAGAGATGATGGTACTTGGATCAGATGGTAGCAAGGGATATGGAGAGAATGGATTGATATAAAATATATTTTAAGATAAATTTGACCAAGGTGAAAGAAAAGGTGGATTCACAAATAAAAACTTCTGGATCCCTAGTTTAAGCACTTGGTGGATTTTGATACCAGTTACTGATTTGAGCAAAAGAAAATCAAGAATTCTTTGTTGGACAAATTTGAGATGCAGATTTCTTTGTAGAATTTTCAAGCTGAGTACATGAGCTAGGTCTCCATGGAGAAGTCGTATACAGATACAAATCCGGGAGTCATCAGTGTATAGACAGTGTTCAAAGCCTTAGAAGGGATGGAATTACCTGGAGAGAGGGAGAGAGAGGAGTGCTCAGGACTGAGCCACAAGAGACCCTAACATGAGAGGTGAGGTAGAGTAGGAGACAGCAAAAGGAAATGGAAATGAGTACCAGTGAGGCAGAGGAAAGGAGGGTGTGGTTTCCAAGAAGCCAAGCAAAGAGCACTTAAGAGGGAGGAAGTAGCTGCTTATATCCCATGTTACCAAGAAGTGAAGAAAGAACAGTGTGAGACATGGACATTGAATGAAGTAATATGAGGTCATCATGGCCTTGATAAGTAGTGTTAGTAGAGTAGTCAGGATGGAAGCCAGATTCAAATGAGTTAAAATACATATGTATGGTGATGGAGAACAAATATCACGTATAGACTGTTTTTTGGAGAAGTTTATCTATGTATCTAGAGGGTCAGCAAGCTATTTTTAAAAGATGAAAGAAAGCAGAACATGTTTGCATGTCAAAGAGGGAGAAATTGCTATCCTAGAAAGAGAGAATGACTGAAAGAGCTATGTCATTAAAAAGACAAAAGGGATGATATCCAAGGCACAGTGAAGAAGTTGGACTGTGGTAGAATGGATAGCCCTGGTGGCACAGTGGTTAAGTGCTCGGTTCTAACTGAAAGAAAGAGGTTCGAATCTACTAGGTGCTCTTCAAGACGAAAGACTTGGTTATCTACTTCTGTAGACTGTAGAAATGACATCCTTGAAACCCTTTGGCTCAGTTCTACTCTGTCCTTTAGGGTTGCTATGAGTTGGAATTGTCAGTGGAACGGATTTTGGTTTTTAGGGCAGATAGAGTTTCTCTGTGGTAACAAGAGAATGTGGATGTACGTAGTTGCCAGGCTCAGATTTAGTAGTGGAGAGGTAAGAGAGATCAAATGATGGCTTCTGATTTCTCAGTGACATCCAAGGAGTGTCTTGTAGCTGAGAGTAAATGGGAGAGGAGGATTGGTAAGGTTTGAAGAGAGCAAAAAGGAAATTTGCTATAAGCTCAGAATCTAAAGAAATGCAGTGAGACTGGGCAGTATGAAAGGAGACTAATCAGCCAGTCATGTGATTTTCTATATAGCAAGAAGTGGAAGGGTTAGTAAAGGGGCCATCTCTGTGACCTGAATTGTGGTTTACTTTTCATAAGTAACCAGTGGTTCTCTTTCTCTGTATTAACTAATTTATTTATTTTTAGAATGTCTGGAATGGCTGGTCTTTTTAGCATCTCTGGCAAGATATGGGTAAGTGATCTTAAATATACTCTTTGAAATTTTGTTTCCAGAGATTTTTATTTAAGACAAATAATGTGGCTTCTAAACAGTAAGGAAACAAACATTTGTTGGGTTCTCTTTATATTTTCATTTTGTTTTTAAGCCACACAACTTTTCTCATGTGATACCTTTGTATGGAAAGACATGAGCTGAATAGGGACCCATAAGTATTGTATGAAAGTCACATTTTCTTATTTCAGTAATGAAACCCTTTCAGTGTAAAAGGCCTTATGTGGTTTTACTTCTGTTTTGTTTTCTTAAGTTTTATTAAAACACAGCCATGTTCAATCTCTGCATATTGTTTATGGCTACTTTTGCAGTACATAAGGAGCTGTGGTGCATAGTGCCTAAGGCATTTGACTGCTAACCAGAAAGTTGGCTGGTTCAAACCCATCAGCCACTCCACAGAAGGAAGATGGGGCAGTCTACTTCAGTAAAGATTTACCACCTTGGAAACCCAGTGGGGGTCACTGTGAGTGAGTTGGAATTGACTCTATGGCAGTGAGTTTTTTTGCAGTACAATGAATAGAATAGTACAGAGAATAGAATAAGACCCATCTCTGAATAATCAGGTACGATGCTTTTCTTAGTGATTGAGAAGTACAGTATGTGTAGCATTTATACGTATGTTTATGCTGTCTTTCTAGGTGTGTAGAAAGGGAAGAATAAAGTTTTATAAGATGAAGTGTAAAATTTGATACAATTAAAATTTCATATTTTTATAAGTTCAGTTTTATTTAATACTAATAACTGTAATTTTTCTTTTTAGTTGTGTTCTTGTTACCTAGTACCACTCTGATGAGAAATACCACAAATGGGGTGGCCTTAACAAACAAAGAGTTTATTCTTACAATTTGGAGGCTTTAAGTCCAAGTTTAAAGTGCCAGGCTCTAGGAGCTGGGTGAAAGCCCCTCATCCTTGAGGTCCAGCTTTGCCTCCTGCTCCTGGCCCACTGGAGCTAGAGGCTTTTCTTCACTCAGACAGCTGCTGGCTGCTGAGGCTGAGAAGCCCCAAGGTTGACAAGGAAAAAGGCACAGTCCTGATATTACCAAACCACACAGCAGGCCATTAACTTAAGTCCATCGTAAGTCCCAACGTCGGCAGAGCATAGCAAGCTGCTGAGCAACGACATGGCTACATGCAGGGTCTAAGCGTGCCATATACTAGAGACCACTCCCCAAGGCTTCTTATATACAGGAAGCAGACCACATACCCAAAGGCAGCTACTCAGCTGCTTGTGGTAGATCCCACCATGGAGTTGATTGCCAGTCTCATCATGGGGAATAACTACCACCCGCGCCCAGCCACTCAACCAGGCCCAGCCAAGTTGACACAAAGACATAACCACCACAGTTAGAATTGGTCTAGAATATCTTCTTATTCTACCTAGCTCTTTACTTTCAACCTTTTTGTAGCTATTATGTTTTAAGTGAATCTTGTGTAAAGCATATATCCCAAACCAGACCCACTGCCATTGACTTGATTCCAACTACAGCAACCCTGTTTGACAGAGTAGAACTGCCCCATAGGGTTGCTAAGACTGTAAATCTTTACAGAAGCAGACTACCTCATCTTTCTCTTGTGGAGCAGCTGATGGGTTCAAACTGCCAAGCTTTGGGTTAGCAGCCCAGTGCTTTAACCACAGTACCACCAGAGCTCCTTTCTAAACCTTATAAATCAATAACCAAACTCCCACAGGGTTTCCAAGGCTTTAAATCTTTATGGAAGCAGACTGCCTCATCTTTCTCCTACAGAGCAGCTCGTGGGTTTGAACCACTAAATTTTTGGTTAGCAGTCAAATGCCTTAACCACTGCACCATCAGAGTGCCTTTATAAAACATATAGCAAGGAGTAAATCTTTGAACTGATTAATTTTGTCCATTTGTATTTATTAGGATCAGAAGCACATTTAGTTTATTTCTGCCATTCTTTTTTTTTTTTAATCCCTGTTTGCTAGCTTAAATTTTTTTTTTCTTATCTACCATTTCTTGGATTTATTGAATATATAATATTTTCCCTTTTCCCTCCAATAATTTGGAAGTTGTTCTATTTTCATTAGAAGCCACCTTAAATTTCAACTTATGTACTTAAAAGAAAGATCTAAAGTTAATCCTTAAAGCCACCCATCTGAATAATGCAAAGGTCTTAGTATGGTTGAATGTTTGAATGTTGTTATAATCTAGGATTTTATTTCAATCTTTTCTACTCCCCAAATCACTTTTTTTTTTTGTCTTATATTGTCAGTGCACATAGATTTGCCCATGTATTTACAAATTAATATTCACCGCACTGCTTCTTGTCTTCTTGCTAGGTTCAAGTTCTTTCTAAAATGTGTCTTTTTATGGCTCTTTTGGTGAAAGTCTGACAGTCATCTTTAATTGGCTGAAAATGTCTTTATTTTTCCCTTACTCTCAAATGAGAGTTTAAATATGAGTAGAATTCAAGACTGGTATTCGTTTTTTTCTCATCCACTGAAGCTGTTGCCCTATGACCTCTGTTGTTACCGAATTGAAAATCTGCATTTTATTTTCTGCTTTTGTTCCATTGAAGGTAATTTAAGATTTTTTGGTGTTTTTTTTTGGTGTTCTGCAGTTTTACTCTTTGTCCATGTTTGGAAAGAGTGTATGTCTCATGGTTTTTAATAGAGAAATTTATTTATTTTATCAATTTTGGAACATTCTCGTCTATTATCTGTATCCTTTCTTTATCTTTGACTTCTGAAACTCTTGTTCCATATATTGTGAACCTTTTCATTATATCCACCATTTCTCTTAATCTTCCTTTTATGTTTCTTTTTTCTATCTGTTACATCTGAGTAATTCTTCAGATCTGTCTTCCTGGTCACTCCAGCAGTGAATAATCTGTTGTTTAAGTCAGACATTAACTTTTTAATGTCAATGAATAGACATAGTTTCCACTTACTAGAACTAGATTTTTTTACAATTCTCCCTTTTTTTTAATAGTATCTTATTTTTTAAGAATTTATATGCATTTTTTTTTTCCTCTCCATATCTTTAAAAAATATTGTTAATGGAATAACCATATTGAACATAATAAGACTGTGAAGAATGTCAATGATACTGAACAATTTTTATAGAAATTGTTGAATATAGAAACTGAATTGTTTAATATAGAAACTGCTATGTAAATCTTCACCAAAAACACAATAAAGTATCATTAGAAAAGAAAAAAAAGTGAATTTGGAAATGGTAAAGCCATTCCTAATTTGCCACGACAATTTCTTCCTCCTCTGAATTTCTATACCATAGTTCTTATCAACCATACTATTATTTAACACTCATTGCTGGTCACCAGGCAATGTTGTTTCTCATGTTATGATATGCATGCTTTATTTCTTAGTAGATTGTAACCTCTGTATGGCCAGTGTCAAAGGAAAGTTTTTGGTGTGAAGGAAATGCTCATTATCTCGATAATGTAATTATTTCATGATTGTATCGTACATCAAAATTTATCAAGTTATATCCTTTACATACTTACAGTTCATTTTACTTCAATCCTACCTGAAAACATATATTTTTAATATAAGCTAAAGGAAATATTCTTATGAGAAGGCTCACACCACAGGTTTTTCTAGAATCCAAGCCTTGGCCTCTTATTCGTAAGGAGTATGATATCTGGCCTGGTGGGACCCTGTTGGCCATCTGTCAGGTCTCTGGTTCCCACTTGAACGTCTAGGTGGTTTGCCTTGCTTGCCTTTATAGAACTGCTTACTCTGTCAGTCCTTATATTGACTGGCTTAATTAGTTTATTTAGCTAGCTCTTCATCTTGCCTGGGATTCTTGCATCAATGATGAATGAATAATTGAGGGAGAAATAATCTATTTCAATTGTCTCTAGATAATACCAAACTGCAGTGCAACCAGATTAACACCAGACAGTCACATGACTTTCAGAAGAAAATCATGTGGTGGGGAGTGGGGAGCTAGACCCAAAAGATTGTAAAGTGTGAGAGAAAGAAGGTAAGATAAAAACACAGAAGAAGGAAAGCACACAGTGGTTAATACAGTGGGGCAAGATTATTGATGCCCATCCAGGAACTCTTCTATCCTACTTAGATATTTGTGTATACATGGACCAATACAAGTTCACTTTCCTCAGAAGCAGTCTCTCTGGGTCGGTAGCTGGTTAGATAAAGATACCTTCATAGGGAGAGATGCATGTTAGAAGTGAAGGAAATGAGCAAAACAGTGTGTGTAATATTGTGCTTAATGGAGTTTGTGTGTGTGTACAAGGAAAACCTGGATGGACATTAGGAAATATTAGCAATGATTATCTCTGATACTGGAATTATGACTGAATTTTTAAATGTCCTTTATGTTGTCTTATAATTTCTGATATTTCTTCATTGGTAAGAAGAATGCAAAACCAAGAGCAATATTTAAAACATCAGAGCCTACTCAGCTGTGCTTCCTTAAAATCTACGAGTTTGTGCCTTAAGAGTAAAGACAGCTTGCTAGGTCTGGCATTTTGGAGATAAAAGCTGGTCCTCAGAATGCTGGATTCACCTGGTGATGAGACACTTACTGGGTTGAGTTCCTGTGAACTTAGGGGTTTTATTGGATCTGCCCTTGGCCGCCTTAACTCTGCACCAGCCTTATATATGTTTTGTTTGAGATGAGGACGTTTCTTTAACAGTTCTGTAAGCCAGATCCTGCACGTGTCCTGCTTTCACCTTGTGTCCCAGAGATCATTGGATAGATAATTTGTATAATAGATAATTGAGTCAACCTTTTTTAAGATATAAGAGAGATTAAACAGCAAGCAGAGATGAGATGGATCTTCTACCACCAAGAAAGAAGTACCAGGAGTGGAGTGTATCCTTTGGACCCGGGCTCCGCTAGGAAACTAGACGCAGGGGAAGATTGATGCCAAGACACATGGAGATTTCTAAGGAATGCAGAGTGCACACACAGATGTTGAAAAATTGAATTTGGGAAATACTAATATTGGTCTGGTGACACAATTAGAATTAGAAATCCAGGGGTTGATGATTTTGCCTCTGACACATGTATCAGGAGAGACTTTCCAGGCTTTCTGTCTTCTCCTTTTGAGAGTTGACTACAATGATGCAGAGAGGCATTATCTTTCTCTCTTCTAGAGAGACAAGTCATTATTTCCCACCTCATGTGTAAGGTAGTATATCTCTTATCCTGACTGTACACTGTTGTTACTAGAACACTTTGAATGCTTTGCACAGAACCTGACCCCTTCTACATAGTTAATAGTTGGATTTTTTGGTTATATTCATTATATATTTGGTTATTTGGTTATATATTTGGTTTTTTTGGTTATATTCATTAATCATTGTTGTGTTTGTTATTTTACCGTAATTTCCTTTCTGATTTGGCAACAAGGAATACTTTACCTTTTTATTGATTTGTTTTTAACCAAAGCTGTTAACAGGATGAAAATAGAGTTCTATGGCAGTCATAAAGTGTATGTTTTTGCTAAGTAGGTTTAGCATTTGAACATACTTAAAACACTGTTTTGTTGGATTTGGTGAATCTTTGCCATTCACTGAACAGGATGTAATTTACCTCTTCTAAATGTAATTGTTATTATGAAGGGATGCAGGCATATGGCAAAATCTAGCTTATTTTTAAGGGAGGAAGTATGTGTGATGGATACTACCTTCACTTATGATTAAATTGACATTACAGAACGTTTAATGTTTTATAAATATCCCTTCATGAGATTTAAAGACTGTGAGTGTCTAGATTGTAAGAGTGAATTTAAGAAGTTCAAAATATTCCCCTGTAATATAGATAGTAGATTGCCTTCTCTTGCCTTTTTTTTTTTTTTTAAATCTACAACATTGTTACAGTGAAGTAGTGTATATCACAAGGTGGCTCTCACGTAGCCCACAGAATGCTGTGAAGTGGTCCCCTGGTGTTGTGAGGGTAAAACGTGGTGCGAAGTGAACCCATGGCGTTATTGAGTAGTCTTCCTAGCAGCTCCCAGGCAGGGGAGATAGTTTGATGATTCTGATCTGTGTCTGAAGGACTACAGGGCTTGTCCTAGAGCTCCTTAGAATATATTCTGTAAAGCAGATGGAATCTGAATGGAAAAAGTGTGTGCTCTTCGAGGTGAGTCAGCTTTGAAGAAGACTCTAAGCTCTGGGGTTGCTGGCCAGGTGCCCTTGGGCACCATCTAATCCTGTCTGCAGTAGTTCAGATTCCTAGAGGGAGTGCTGGCTTCCCTAGGGAAGAAAGACTGTATCTCTGATCCATGTAAGCTTTGGCCTATCCATTCCTTAAATCCATTTGACCACTGATTGTAATTTCCTTTTCACGCATTCTAGTCCAAGTTTGCATTCAGTCCTCTTGCACAAATTTGTATGTAGTTAAAAATTAGCTCAAAATCAGCCATCTCTTATAATAATACAAGGTATTAACCCTGTCAGGTGACATTTTTGTAAGTTTCAAATAAATGAAGTAGGGAGTTTCCTTGTAGTGAGCACATACAACATAGAACATGGGACAATATTTTCTATAAGCAAAATTACCATTTTTTCCTAGGAAGCAAAACTTCAAGTACCTACTACCATGAATCCTAACACTCTTTGTTGTTGTTGTTATGTGCCATTGAGTCAGATCTGACTCACAGTGACCCCTCGGGTTTCCGAGGCAGTATCACTACGGAAATAGATTGCCCAACCTTCCTTCCAAGGAATGGCTGGTGGGTTTGAACTGCCAGACTTCTGGTTAGCAGTCAAGTGCCTTAGGCGCTACGCTACCAGAGCTCCTTCCTAACACTCTTAAGGGACTCTAAAACCATAGTGAACTCAGACAAATAAACAGATAAAGACTTACGTCTGCTGTTACAAAAACACTTGATTAATGAGTCTTTAATAATAATTACCACAAAGACCACAAGATGGCAGGGTCTCTTTAAGAAGCTCAAAACAAATTACTTAGAGAAAGTTGATGCTTACAAAAGATTGAAGTGGAGCTTTTTGAAATAAGATGCTTTGAATATACTGGGAAGTGTGTAACTCTTCTCGACGGCAGTGAGTTTGGTTTTTTGGTATATGAATGAAGTAAATCACTAGGTGTTATTTATAAAGAAATAATCCACAGGTCAGCACAGAGGCAGCCTGGCATTCCATATCTTGTAGTACTTTGGCACATTTCAGGGTTTAATCCTGATGATGGCTCCGAGTCATCGAGAAAAGCATTAAGCTACATGTCGTGCACATTATTAGAACTTCTCACTGGGTATTTCGTCAGTTCCTGGAGGGTTTTTTTTTTAAATTTCTTCAATGCAGCTTGAATAACTTCTTCAAGACCATTAATTCTTGATCATATGCTACCTCCTGAAATAGTTGAACACAGATCTTTTCGATACAGTGACTCTGGGTTCCTACTATCTTCTTTTGTTGCTTCCTGCATCATTCAATATTTTGCCCATAAAAATCCTTCAGTTTTCCAACTTGAGGTTTGAATTTTTATTCAGTTCTTTCAGCTTGAGAAATGTGGAGCATATTCTTCCTTTTTGTTTTCCAACTCCGGGTCTTTGCATATTTCATCATAATACTTTGCTTTGTCTTCTCAAGCTGCCCTTTGAAATCTTCTGTTCATCTCTTTTATCTTGTCATTTCTTCCATTTCCTTTAGCTACTCTTTATTCAAGAGCAAGTTTTTGAGTCCCTTCTGACATCCGTTTTAGTCTTCCTTTCCTGTTTTTTTGATGATCGTTTGCTTTCTTCATGTATGATGCTCTTGATGTCATCCCAGTATAAGGGTCTAAAATAGATGACATCTTGGTGACCACTGAACCATCACCAAGAAGCACATGGCTCCTGCAAGTCCACATATAAGTGGGCTATGACTTCAAATTAGGAGGCTATTATCTGTCACTTCTGCCTGATGTAGAATGTGAACAATTTTTAGGTAAGATTATTGTATCTACTCATTCATCTTTTGTGTTTGTCATCAAGTAGAGTCCCTTGTAACAGTGAGCATGACGGGATATATAGTGTACTTAAAGACAAGGTCTTTTTTGCTTAAAATCAGTTAATGGAAAAACTGTTTCTTCTGTCTAATACTACATTTTATGTTTCATGATACTTTATGAAAGTTGTTAAGAATGGGTAAGAGTAGAGCAATGAAAGAGGGTCTGACCACAAAAAGAAATAGGGAGACATTGTTAATGCTTGTGTTCTGTAACTAATTTGTTTCTACTTAATCATGGTAAAAGCCCAAGTCAAGAAGTTGGATTTTTTTATGTAGAGGCCATATTATGAGTAAGCATTGACGTGTATATAATAATTAGAGAAAAAGAAACGAACTCACTGCCATCGAGTCGGATCCGACTCATAGAGTCCCCTCCTTGGGTTTCCCAGGCAGTATCACTATGGAATAGATTGTCCAACCTTCCTTCTGAGGAGTGGCTGCTGGATTTGAACCACCAGCCTTCTGGTTAACAGTCAAATGCCTTAGGCACTACACCACCAGAGCTCCCAATTAGAGGAAAGTGACAAAAAATATAACTCTTATTAGCTATGAATTTAATTCTTACTTTCAGATTCCCAGTGTCATATTTGACTTATTCTTAGGAATCATTAAATGCATAAATCATTAGATGGCCTTTGTGGGAGCTTACATAGAGAGAGGAAGTTTACAAACTTGTATTATAACTAAAGGGGGGGGGGATCAAATATTTTTGTCTCATTGCATGCAAATATTTTGTATTTTTTCTTCTGATTACAGCATCTTCACAACTATTTGACAGTGACCCTTGGAATTCCTGTTTGGTGTTCTTACGTCTTTTTCGTCATAGCCACCTTGGTTTTTGGCCTTTTCATGGGTCTGGTAAGAGATAATGCAGTCTTTTTACTGTTTTTAAAATAAAATAGGTTTCATGTAAATCTAGAAAAAGCCCAAGGAAGAAGTAGTGTTTAAACATTCTTTTGTGTGATATTTAACCTAAGAAGTTAAATAACATTTGCTTGTTTGATACCATTTTCAGTGATAATTTGAATTATAATAGAAAATTGATTAAATCATTATTTCCTTATTCTGTCTCCTGTGTATTCTAAAACTATGCACTGCCCAGAGTACAGGCAGTGATGAAAGGAGAAATGGAGACCCTACTTGAGTTAGATGGTCAGTTTCCAAGACAGTTGTAATTTTGCACATTGCCTACTGGATTAGAACACTGTTAAGAAGGCCAAAGCCATGAATTTATTCTGAGGGTAAACAAGGAGATTTTTTTTCTTGTTTATATTCTCTCATTATACCTCTGATTCTGACCATCTCCTTTTACATACACCTTGGTGTTTTTCCAAGGAGAGGGTCTACAAGAATGTATATAGAGCAATCCAGTCTTACTGTGGAAAAAGTAAGATGCAAAGCAAATTAGAGTGTCTTCTTTGGCCATGAAAATAAATACCCACTAGGTATCTATACCTTTTCTCCCTAGGTATGTTTTAGATGACAATGAAATAATAAACTTAACTATATCCAAAAAAAAAACCAACTCCCTGCCGTCAAGTGGGATCTGACTTAGCAAACCCTCCGTGGGTTTCTGAGGGGGTGTCTTTATGGAAGTAAATTGCCCAAGTCAACTATAATATTTTTACATGTTTTACTCTTTGATATAAGTGAAATAACTTATTATATTTCCCTTTACCTACAACTTACTAATTTTATTGCACTTTTAGCTATAGTTAAGAAAAGGAGAAGTCCTCAAAAGTCATTATGCTGTACCAATCATGTAGCTTTCAAATACTGTATGATGACAGTATAATTGATGATTCCTAAAAATGAATTAAAAAGAACAAATTCTTAGCTAAGATTATTATAAAGTCTACTATATTTTATAATGAACTTTGGCTCTTTAGCAAGATTTTTTAAAAATAAGTTTCAAGTGTTAGCAATTTTGTTCATAGCAAGTCATAACATGATGCAGCAGAGTCATAACTCTAGGGAGCCAAGGAGACTTGATTTTATTTTTCCATGAACATGCTTAATTCCCATTACAACTATTCTTTGACATTTAGCTGCTGCTTTTAATGTCCAAGGTAGGGATAGGACTTAAATACCTGAGTGTGTCATCTGTTATATCCTAGGTATGTCCCATTCTTTTGTGTGAACTTTATCACTAATTACCATGTCTCCATTGCTCTGTCCTAAAGAGATTTGATTTTGGATGTAAATGGAATATAGTAATCTTTGCTTTTCCTAACAATTATCTAGTTCTGGGAGATGACTTGATGGCACATAACAACAACAACAGGTTTTTCTAGGAGCTCTGGGGGCGTAGTGCCTAAGGCATTTAACTGCTAACCAGAATGCTGGCGGTTCAAACCCACCAGCCATTCCTCGGAAGGAAGGTTGAGCAATCTACTTCTGTAGTGATGCCACCTTGGAAACCCAAGGAGGAGTCACTATGAATGGCATTCGACTTGACGGCAGTGAGTAGAGGTTTTTGTAACAGTTTATTTCTAACAGTGTATATGGAACGTGAGTCTCTTGTAAGGGCAGTGGTGTGAGGTCCAGGGTGATTCAGAGATCAAGTTAATGGAAAATGCAGCTTGAATATGAGCCTATTTAGAAGACCAATCACAATTCCTCTTAATGCAAAGATTTTCAGAATTTTATCATTGAGGTTGGCTTTAAGTCCAAGAAATGGAGTCAGGCCTGCTTGTATCTTAAGTTCATTTAGAAACTTACATTAAAATAATCAGTGCAGAAAAGACACCAGGGAAGAATATTCTTCTTTCCTGAAGAAAGAATAGAGTTGATCCCAGACTGTTCAAGTGATTAAGTGACATAGAACATAGTTTCTTTATAAGACATTAGGGACAGAATTTTATTTAACAAAATAATAATACAAAATTTAAAGCAGTAATAAACTCAAATTGTCTGCTAATACAGTTCTGGAAATTAGTAAACACATATATTTGTTCAAAATGCCTTTTCTACAACTGTAGTGTGTGGTGGTGTTGTTCTTGTTATGTGCCATCAAGTCGGACCCGACTCATAGCAACTCCCTCCTTGGGTTTCCGAGGTGGTATCGCTATGGAAGTAGATTGCCCAACCTTCCTTCCAAGGAGTGGCTGGTGGGTTTGAACCACCAACTTCCTGGTTAACAGTCAAGTGCTTTGGGCACTATGCTACCAGAGTTGTTGTGTGCCATCGAGTCGAACCTGACTCATAACGAACCTTCCTTGGGTTTCTGAGGCAGTATCACTACGGAAATAGATTGCCTAACCTTCCTTCTGAGGAGTGGCTGGTGGGTTTGAACCACCAGCCTTCTGATTAGTAGTATGTGTTAGAACCATGCAGTAGCTAGAATTTTGCCTTCAGTAGTCTTAGATTTCTTATGTATGTTTTTCTTATCTTTTGTGAATTAGTTACACAGCTTGAAACCACCTGCATTCCTATACCAACTTAAGTTAGCTATTCCAAAATGACACTTCCAATAACTTAAAGAAGTGTTTATAACTAAGCAAGTGTTTCTCAACCTTGTGTTTTCACATCTTAGCCACATACAGAATGGTATTTGAATAATATGGTAAAGGAATAAGGTGCTGAACGAGGCCACTTGAGACTGTAATCTCTTTATCTCAAAATACTTTATCCATTTCTCTAATGAGTGTCATATTTCGTAATGCTTTATACTTAAAAAGTGCCATTTTTTTCTCTATACTTCTCAAGAGCCAAGACTGTGGGGTTTTTTTTGTTTTGTTTTGTTTTTCCTTTTCAACCTGTCCCACCTCTCAAGATATTAATATGGTACCTTGAACCGAGTGAATCCAAATATTGAGTAAAGTAATAAAAGAACATATGGATAGTAATAATCCTGAACACAAATAATCCTGGGCACTCATTTGATATTTATAAAGTGGAATCGAAAGGACTATGACTGTGGATTCTTTAAAATTTCAGAATACCATTTAGTGTACTAATATACAGTATGAAGTACTACTGTTATTTTAAGAGCTGGTCAGTTATTCAGAGTAAAGGCAGTCTGAGAGTTAGCCACGTACCAGCCTTCCTGCCGGGGGATGGCTGCAGCCTGGGCAGCATCTTCCTATGTTGGAGCTCTGTGGCGTCACAGTGTGGAGAGTGACTCCCAGTTGTTTCGGCTACAGCTGGCTCTCCCCTTTTTTAAATGCTCTGTACCCTTATCACCCAGCCACAGAACATGGACTGGATGATTCTGTCCTTAAGGAACTTGTAGGTTATCAAGGAACAAGGCATGTGACTCATCCTGCAGTCAGAGTCAGAAGTGGAGCTCATCAGTCACGTCTAAAATATGACTTAGTTCACATCCTTGATCGGGTTTCTCACAGTTTGCTTCTATAGAAGTTTCTTATGGTACTCTTTAGAATTCCAGCTCATTTGGGGATTACCCACTGGCAATGGGTAACCTGTATACAGACTAAATTGATTTGTCTAGAATAGTGTTTTTAAAAAGGCTCTTTGAGACTTGGCTGATAGTGTATCTTTGTCTTATACCTGCTTGATTCATCTATTTGTAACAGGCTATCTGTAGACAATTGACTTTGTGACCTTTCCTCTAAATTAATAAAATAGTATTTTTCTACATTATGTTATAGTTGAAAAATAGGAAATTGTTAATTATAACCTTGTCCTTTTTGAGGACTTTTGACCAACTGCTAATTATTTGTCTAAGAATATCTGTGTATAAAAGCAAGGCCTAATTTTGAGGCCCTTTGGTAATACATGTCCTACCTTCTAACTCTAAGATCACTTTTTTTTTTTTCCCCCAGGTCTTGGTGATAATGTCAGAATGTTTCTATGTACCACTTCCTAGGCATTTATCTGACCGTTCTGGTAAGCATAATAAAATCATGGAATAAAGTATCCTTGGAATTCTGTGGTATGCCCTTTCTTGCTCATACAAATGGTGTGTATTACCCTTGATTTGCTAGATGACAAACCAAAATTCTCTGAAATTGGTTCTCTAGGTAGATTCAAACCAAAATTCTTACTTATGGTTCTATTAAATTAAGGAGCTCTGGTAGTGTAGCAGTTAAAGCATTTGGCTGCTAACCAGAGGATTGGCAGTTCAAACCTACCAGCTGCTCCATAGGAGGAAGGTCAGGTAGTCTACTTCCATAAAGATTTACAGCCTTGGAAACCCAATGGAGGTTGCTGTGAATCAGTGTCAAATCAATGGCAGTGACTTTGGTTTTGGTTTGGTCTCTATTAAATTAGAGAATATTTCCTTTGATGTATTTTTCCCTTTAAATGCATGTCTTCATTATTGAATATCAGGCTTTTTTTCAGAATGAAAAGGGAGGGATAGGAATTTACATTCATTGAGCTTCTACAGTGTACCAGTTACTATCCTAAGTCCTTTACTATCAGGCTCCCAACTGCTTTTACAGATGAGAACACAGAGGCTCTGAAAGGCTAGATCAGTTGTTACAGATCACAGAGTCAAAAGGTGGGGACTTGGGTTTTTAATACACTTCTGTTCAAGTCCAAAGTCTGCACTGTCCCATGCTGTTTCTGGAACTAGGTGGTCCTGGATTCTCATGTTTTTAGTCCTGACTATGTTTGAGAATTTATATGGAGACTTTATATATTTACTGAATTTTGTGGGAAATTAAACTGAATAAGTTCATATTTTTTGTAGTTTTTGAAGTTTTCAAGGCTTTGAACCTTCTGTAGATAATTAGAAACTATATTATGTTCCCTAGAATTCTTGAAAGTGACAGAAACCCAATTCAAACTATTTTTGAGGAAAAAAGGAGAATTTATTAGGTTACCAAAAAGTCCAGGGGGGTTCTCGTTTCAGACATAGCCCAAGTCATATTAGGTTTCTGATTCTCTCTGCCTGACTCAATGATTGTCAACACCTCAACTCAAATTTTATCAGCTTAGCAATTTCTGCAGAGAGAAAGGAGGTTTTCCTCCTGACTCTGCCCCCCACAAAAAAAAACCCTGGGGAGTACTCTGATTGGCTCAGCTTAAGTCACGTTGCTGAGCTGATCACCATGACCAAGGGGTCAGTAAGCAAGCTATGAAATACGGAGAGGAAAGGAACCTTTGCCCTCCCTGCCTTCGTGTTCTCATAAAGTCAACACAGTCAGTAAAATGTCCAGAGAGGGACTGAGAAGCCCCAGATAGGGTTGGGATGTCAGCAGAGAATCTGAGAATCCCAGCTTCAAGGAGAAAATCATCAAGTAGTTCTTGCCTTCTCTCCCCCCACCCCCCCCTTGTTGTTGTGCACTTCACAGTTAAAAGCACTCAATTGAGTGCCGAATTACTATTGCTTATTTAGAGGACATTCTTTTTGTACTCTTCCCTCCACAGAGGAGAATCAGAGGTCAGAGGAGGCTCAAAGTGCTGAACAATTGCAGGATGCAGAGGAGGAAAAAGATGATTCAAATGAAGAAGAAAACAAGGATAGCCTTGTAGATGATGAAGAGGAGAAAGAGGACCTAGGTGATGAGGACGAAGTGGAGGAGGAGGAGGAGGAAGACGACTTGGCTGCTGGTGTCGATGAGGAGAAGAGTGATGCTAATGACCAGGGGACCCTGAGAGAGGGCAACATGGCAGAGAAAGAAGTGGGACCTGAGAAGGTGGAAGGGGCCGTCCCTGAACAGCCCTGTTCAGCTGACACGGAGGTGGCAGGAGATTCGTTGAGGCAGCGCAAAAGTCAGCACACTGATAAGGGACCATAGGTTTTATGAAAGTTTTCCCAGTAATAGAGACCAAAGGAGTAAGTCCTTTTCCCTCTGGTCTGCATTTTCAACCAAATCTTTACTTTTTCCTGAATGAACAAGGTTCTCTTTTAAAAGAGGATCTCAAGTCATGTGGTCTCTAGGCATTAAGCCTCATGCATATTAATGAGAATCTTTCAAGCATGACAATCAGGAAACAGAAAAATGTGTTAGGATCTGTTTGGGCATGAAGGATAAGAACAAGTTTATTTACTCTGGGCTAGCGAGTCTTGGTGAGAGAAGGCAACCCCAAGTCCTCATTAGTGTCAGAACAGGTTGCAGACCCCATGGAATAAAAGCAAAGCTACCTTTACCTGAGCATCCTCAGCAGTGTAGCAGAAGTCATGCTTTCTCTGCTTGTTCTAAGTATTTATTTTTGTCAATCTTTATAAGAAACATCAAACAGCACATTGCAGAACACTTTTTTTAGAGACTGGAATTGAGAGGGCCCTGGATAGTATTTTAGAAGAGACTAGAAGTCACCCTACCTCTCTAAATTACTTTTGTTACATTTTATTTCTTTAATTTTTTTCAGCTTTGCCTATATGGGCTTGCAGGCTCCTGGTACTCTTCACAATCTTCCCTTAGTGCCGGGGCTGAGCCATCAATGACATTCACACCATTTGCGTTTATTCTGACATGAGTTTCAGATAAGGAGGAACCATAACCTATGAAGCCATGACTACCATAAAATAGGATCTTTCAGAGATTCAGAAGACATTAGAATTTTGTAGGAGAGGTTTTTGTGGGGGTGTGATACTTTTTTGTAAAGAGCTTCTTTAGCAGTATTCTTTTTGCAACCAGGAGTCCTCCAAGACTTGCCAGTACAAGGTCGTCTTTTGCAGAGAACTCGGATACTATATTATTGTTCCCATCTCAAGGGGTTCCTTGGTCCCTGAACCACTTCATTAGTAACTGAAAAACCACTTCTGGTTTTCCTTCAGTGATGTAATTTTAGTGAAAGAATTAATGAAATTCATTGCTTGAAAATGAAAGATTTAGTGTCTTTTCCTTCTTCCTTAATTTTCTAATTGTATCTCTGTAAATCTCTCAGTACTCAGTGTACTAAAAGTACCAAGGGGCCTGTCGTGGTTATCTAGTGCTGCTATAAAAGATCACAAGTGGATGGCTTTAACAAACAGATATTTATTCTCTCCCAGTGTAGAGGGTAGAAGTCCAAATTCAGAGTGCCGGCTCTAGGGGAAGACTTTCTCTTGCTGAGGGCCCTGGGGAGAATCCTTGTCTCCTTTCACCATCTGTGGGCCAAGCATTCCTTGGAGATCTCCAAGTGTCTTGGCATTGATCTTGCCCTGGATCTGGGAGGTTCTTAGTGCAGGGACTCTGGGTCCATGGGACTTGCTCCACCTTGTGTTCTTTCTTGGTGTTACTGAGGTCCCTCCTCTGCTTGCTTTTCTCTCCTTTTCTCGTGACATAAAAGGTGATGCAGGCCATAATTCCCCTTATATTGAATCCAAGCTGTGACCTGAGTGAGGGTGGTGACTTAAGTAATGGTGATTCATCCCACCCTAATCCTGCCTGTTGAGCATAACAAACACAACCTAATCCTCATTAACATAACCTGATCCTATCTCATTAACCAGAGCCTGAGGTTAGGATTTGCCACATATCACAAAATGGAAGATAATCAAACACAGTACTGGGAATCATCCCCTCGCCAAGTTCACACATATTTTTGGATGAGACAGTTTGATCCATGACAGGGCCCAGTTTCTTTTAAAAAAATCCATATATCTGCTTTTTTCTTACCTAATTTATGTGTTGGAATAAATTCAGAAAGTAAGATTCCAAGATTAAGAAATATGCCTAAAATGGATTCTGTGCCTCTTGGGTCAGAATAATAAGGAACATGGGTTTATGAAATCTGGAAAGTTTCTAAATGTACACGAGATGTTGAATGTAAAACAAACTCTGCTCTATAAACTTGCACCTAAAGCACAATTAAAAAAACAAACTCTGAAAACTACTAGAAGAAAAAAAAAAAAAATGAAAACCACTAGGAAAAAAAATGAATATACAGTATACTTATATCTGGCTACTTAGATTACCCTTTCCTTGTATCAGGAGCCCTGATGGTGCAGTGGTTAAAGCACACATCTGCTAACCAAAAGATCAGAGATTCAAACCTACCAGCCACTCTGAGGGAGAAAGAGGAGACAGTCTGCTTGAGTAAAGGTTTACAAGTGTGGAAACCCTATGGGGCAGACCTACTCTGCCCTGTAAGGTTGCTGTCAGTGAGAATAGGAGCTCTGGTAGCATAGTGCCTGAGGCACTTGACTGCTAACCAGAACCATCGGAAGGAAGGTTGGGCCATCTACTTCCTTTGTGATACTGCTTCAGGAAGCCCAAGGAGGAGTGGCTATGAATGGCGTTGGGTTGACAGGTCCGACTCCATGCACATAACAACAGCCATCAGTCAGAATAGATTTAAGTGGCAGTGGGTTTGCTTTAGTTTTCCTTGTATTAACTATGGTAGGGTTCACTGTGGGTTCTGAAGCTCCCTGTCTTTGTGTGCTTGACTGAGGCTGTTGGCATTTTAATATCCCGGCAAAAGATAGGGTTTTATTTTCACAGACTCTGATTTTCAGGCATGGTCATTTTTCATCCAAGTCTGTTAGTCTCCTCAGTAAATAAGATTCATTTAGAGTCTCCTAGTCATCAGCACAGCAGTGGGACATCGAGTTTGACGCCATCACAGAAGTGGCGGGCTGCGGAATATTGACATGTGCCCAGTTCCTGCCCTCGCACCATGTAGCTGATACCTCCTTGGCCTTTAGCATCGTCGTGGTGGTGGTGGTGGCTCTCTCCTAACACCAGGAAGCCCATCTGGGTCAGAGCTGAGCAAGGCCTGCCTTCCCATCACCTTTTTTTTTTTTTCTTATGATGAT